ATACAAAAGATAATACTAAATTTGTTTAGCAAAGAAAATTTTCAATGAAATAAAAACACAAATGGAAAAAGATCACAAAAAAGCATGCTGATTCTATACAAGTCATAAAGAAACACCTGTAGAAAAATGACAAAAAGAATGTGCATCAGAAATATGAGAACATGACATAAGGAGATAAATGAAGATGTAATGGAGAAAATAGAAAAAGAATGCCTAAAAGAGGCAAAAAAGACCCCCCCAAAACAAAAAGAAGCAATTAAATTTCACTATGAGTGCCTGGCACTTGTCAAATTAGCAAAAGTCCAGTGTTGATGGTTATGAAAACAGAAACTATAATGTTGTAGTGTGGACAGTGGATAATAAGTGTTTAAATGATACACACTCTGTGCACCAACAAAGACGCTCCTGAGCATCCATGGGATTTTTTTAAAATCTGGTTCAGGAATAGCAAGTAAGAGAATGTTCCTAGGTGCATTTAAATCAGTGATGAATGAGACAAGTCTGCCTGCTATAACTGGAAAACCCAAGAAAATGTTACATAGACAAACAATGGAGACCCTGTCCAGAAATGCATCTACATCCAGCAGTGAAAATAAATCTGGAAAATCATACTGAGTGAAACAACTCAAATACAGTATGAACTCTCTAACACAGCACTTGGGCACTAAAAATGTATGTACAGGAGGTTGGGGTGTGGCTCAGTGGGACAGCACATGTACAGTGCTCATCAGTATCTAGGGTCTATAGCCAGGATAAAAAATATACATGAAGCCAAGGGGTATACTCCAGCAGAGATGCTCAGGGGCACAATGTTGAAAGAAAACACACCTGCAGCAGGTTTGTCAGGCACAGCACTAGTGGTATTTGTGGCCAAGATTTCCTTCTAATAAGAACCATCTCATTTGTTATGTGACACTGCTCAACAACCTTGACCTCCTTCCCCAATGTGCTACTAAATATTCTTATGCTCTGTGTCACAGTCACAAGAAAAAACTTGAGACACCTTTTTTGGGGGGGTCCCAGGTATGGAACACGGGACCTTGCCCTTGAGAGGTGGGCAGCGGAACCACGGAGCTAAATCCCCGGTTTGAGACATTTTCTGATGTGCAGAACCACCACTGCCTGAAAATCACTTACTTAGCCTGTGCAGCAGATCCTTAAGGTCCTGAACGACAAGGTATGAGAAGGGCAAAATCCCCATGACCTGCCAGATCTCTAGCTCTGCACCCCAAATCCAAGCTCAGTGACTCTCCACAAAGTACTCTGTATGTCCTTGCACATTCTCTTCTTGTCCTCACCACCTGCACCAACATTTCAGATGTTACCAGTGTGAAAAGCCAGAACAGGCTCCACTACTCCATGCTGTATGATGACACCCACAGGGAGATACAGCCAGACCAAAGGGTGCTTTGAACTGAAGCTCTGTGCTTTAACTCAGCTGAGTCAAAGGGCATTCCCATGGGCATCTCCAGAATACCAACATGGAAGGTCTGTCTTCAGGGTGTGCAGAAGATAACAGAACTTACAGGGATTCAGCAATTGCAGTCAATTGTAACTATGGACCAAATAACAAAGGCCTATGGTTATCTCTTTTCCCAGAGAGAGATATAAATCGGTGAAAAGGGGAAAGAGCTTTGGAAGGATAACTTCTGTACATACAAGTCTTCAGCTCACTAATGTCAGAGAAACAGAAGTGGGATTAAATGAGTGAGCAAACTGGCACACAGAGGCAGATGTTTACCCAGGGTTAAAAGAGTTACAATGGTTTTCAGCATAAGTTAGACCTAGGAATAGAGCCATGCACATTGCTGGTGTCTTATGTTCAAACTATTCAGGTCTCTGTCTGAAAGTCTCTATCCTATCATTCTGTTACAGCGATACAAACCAGACAGTATGATCACAGTGGGGCACCTCTTAATAGAATAATAACAATAGTTCTAGTAATAATAATAACAACCATCCATTAAATCAAAGCAAACAAAGAAAAAATCTGCAAAATCGTAAGTATTGCTCCCCTTTTGAAATACTACTCATATTGTTTTCTTAATTCAGTTGCTCTGGGAAATCTGATTAACACAGCTCTCAAAAAGGGAAACAATCTGATGAATATTATGTTCTACACAGGACTTTTTGAAGATTTGAAATAGACACACTACTTAAAAAGGAAAAATATAATGATAAAAGAAAGGAAGTGGAAAACAAAATGCATTGAAAATGTATAGAATATGCCTAAGCAAGGAAAACATTACTGCTAACCCTTGGATCCTTTAAACCTGCTCAACACACTGGCTTGACTGCTGTTTGGGGAACTATATGTAACATAATACAAAACTCACAATAATACTAAATATCTCTTGCACTTAATTGAATGTAGTGCACTGTACATCACTGCTTGTTCACCAGTGGTGTCCTGATGCTGACAGAGCAGTCATCATTACTGCTGTCCACCATCCTGAGCAATACTGGACCATATATCACTAGTGTGCAAAGAAATAAAAAATAAAAAACTCAAAGTAAGATTTCCACTGAGTAATTTTTCTGTTATTTTTCAGTACTGGAGTTTTATCACAGAGCTTAAGGCATGTTAAACAAGTTACCATTCAGGGGAGATAAATCCCAGAATTTATAATTCATGTTGAAAAAGAGTCTTGATCTATTATCCAGCCCCGGCGTGGTGTTGTAATATTCCTGTCTCAGTCTCACAAGTACCTGAAAGTAAAGGTGTAAACTACCATGCCCCGCTGATTTTTACTATACCCAATCACTGAAATCTTGTTAAATCATGATAAATGAAGAACCCCAAACTGGCATAATGGCAAGTACATGTATCCCAACAGTCAGTGAGATACAAACACTATCAAAAATCACACCAACCTGGGCAACGTACTAAGACTCATAATTTTTTTTATAAATTTAAAAAGTTGGATGTATAGCCCTGAGCAAAATACCAGAATTCAGTTCCTGTACAATAAAGACGTCCAGGGCCTGGGATTTAGCTCAGTGGTTTTGCCACCTGCTTTGCAAGCAAAAGATCCAGAGTTCAATCCCTCGTACCCCACACCAAAAAAACAAATAAATAAAAGAAAAAAGCATCAAACACACCTTGGAATCTTTTGTATTCTGTGGAAACCACCCTTCCTTCTATTTCAGTGATGCAGCCCATGCTATTTTTAAAGGTACACCCAGGCTAGACATTGTCCTAATTTCCGATTTTGCCTCATGTTTAGGTGAAATGATTGGTGGTAATATGAGTTATATTTATCTATTATTAAGTTCCCTTCCTTTCTTCAAACCTGTGTTGCCAATGCACAGACCAAGCAAGCACACAATTCTTCCTCTGTGATTAACATAAGAAAAATCTGACCTTCAGAGTACCTTCTATGCTGTAGGTGTTACTACTGGCAGGCTTAATGATTCCATTCTCTTTCCCCTCCTTCCCACTCTCCTTTGATTCACCCTAAGCAGGAAAGCCTCCTCTATGCCTCAACATTGATGTGCTTCCACAATTTCTATTTGGGGATTCTCCTCTTCTCTACTGCTACTTTTAAAGTCTGCCTCAGGGAGCATTTCGGTATTTAAACAACGATTACCATCAGGCAAGGTTCTATGGCCATTGATTCAGAGATTAATACACTTTCCACGAATACACGTGTGCCTGCAAATGCCCCAATTTAAGGCGTTTCTCAGTGTGGGTTTAACAAGCAGCCACTTCCGGAAATTGTTCTGGGTTTAACAAGCAGCCTCTTCCGGAAGTTGTCCTTAGCATGTACACCCCCCCATTCCTCCCATTTTTCTCAGAATTCTAAAATCTATGGCAGTTCTCACTTAAACAGTCTAATTGTGAGTAGGGCTGTCATCTAAATAGTTAAGTAAGATTATAAATCTCTTTTGCATTGCGTATAGAACGCAGGAGTTCACTAGGTGTTTGACAAGTGCTCCACCGCTGAGGCACATCAACGTATTTCTAGAAATTTTCCGAACCTTTGTCAACACCTACCATGTATTTGGAAATGTGAGGACACACTGGAACTTTAAGAGATTGCTATAAATTTAAAAAACAGAAGCGTGAAGAGAGGAGTTGTGCCTATGAGACCCTGCATCACAGATATTTATAAACTTCAGATCTTCCAGATCTGCTGCTGGTGTAAGAACCAAAGTGATTCCATTTTGTACAAAAGAGCCATTTTCTGTAAAAAGTTGACCTAGGGGTGAATTTGGGTTGTACATACTTGCAAAATGAGCTAGCTGCTTACAAAATAAGGTTAGGTTCGAGATAAGTTGAGAAAAAAACCGAATGCTTGCACAGGATGTTCTCTGTGGAACGAAGGCCCTGACCTCTCCTGAACAGATTCCCCTCCCCAAGTTGAAGTTGTTCTCTTCCCTCTATCGCAAGTACCCCAGCAACACCCAATAGGAATTAAAAAATAGAAGATAACACCAATAGGAAATAGAGGATTTCAAACCTCCCAAACCCTTTAAAATTATGCCTTAAAAGGGGGTCGGGGCTCTCGTTTCTCATCCGCTTAGTCAGTGAGATATGAGGGTCCAGGCTCGAGCTTGCAATAAACTCCTCATGCATTTACAGCGGACTTGACTCCTTGGTGGTCTTTGGGGACTTCGCGATCTGGACACAACACTGGCAAGAATGAGACCAGGGACCTAGCTCACAACAGCTGCACCCAGCTCTAACCCACAGCTGAGTCAGGGGTCTCCCCAAACCTCTTCCTCTCCCCAGACTGGTGGCAGTCCGAGGACAGCAGGGTTTCCAAGACCACGCTGTAGGTTGGCGGCGCCACAGTGAGGACAGGTTTCTGGGGATCCAGAAGTAGTCTTGCCACAGTAAAGGCCAGAAGGACAGAGAGTGACTCATTACCAGTCCAGCACCTCAGGGACTGAAGCTAAGCATGGAGGCTCTAGCCACCATAGCCGGTTCGGACCACCGCTAACGGGATCTCACCCCGATTCCAGCCCATTCCAGGGCTCCCATCCCACAACGTTACCATTGCGTGGCTTAAATATCTCCCAGGGTCTTTTCCACTAAGGTGGCAGCCAGTACTATCCAAGGCGGACTCCCAAGTTTGTGTTCTCCACCGGATTTTAGCGCCATGACACCGGAAGAACCCTCCTACCTTAGAGCATTGATTGGCCAGTTCATACGGCCCGCCCCTTCATCACTGATTGGCTCGTGTTCTATTGCCATCCCCCGGGTCAAGATTAAGGAGAGGGAAAAAAATCCCTACCTGCAGGTCTGGATCCCAAATGAAATATTGTAGTTCAGACTTCAGGACCAGGCAGGCTTGCTTACACAATGTTGACCTCACCTCCCTGAGGAATACTCGGCATTTAAGGGCTTTAACCCTGGCTTTTCAGTGCTGTTCCTGTTTTTGTTTTTTTTGGGGGGAGACTAAGGGGGCTCTAACTCAAGACCTTGCACATATCTAACATTACACAACTGGTGAGTAATTTATATGTCTAACCATAATTAAGGCTAGAGCAAGTGATACTCACTGCATTAGGGGTATTTAATGCATTGCTAGCTATGCTTTCATGATACCATAGGTTTGTAACAGTGTAATCCCATCAGAAATCGCACAGCTTTTGTATTCAACACTATGTAAAATATTTTAAAACTGTGTCAATGTTAAAAAATAGTGTATAATAGAGTTCAAAGGAGACCAACAGGGACTGTAATATTTGCTAATCTACAAGTTCTGTGAAAACAACTCCACTTTGTCAAAAACACATTTTCATAATTGTCAGAAAACGTTTATCTTAATATAAAATATAGCATCAAATTCAAAAATATCTTTTGTTACACAGCATATAGAGTATGAGCACTAAAAACTCAAAACAAATGTACTGGCAAAATCCCAACAATTAACAAAAAAAATTTAAAAAATTAAGGTTTTAGTGCTCTATACCTCCCAATTTAAAGACAAAGAGTAAGTACATAGACACGAACTCTACTTCAAAATTAAAAAGCACATTTTAATTCACCATGTGTAATTAATCAAGACACCATGGATTAAGCACAAAGGCACTCAAAAAACACAGAATTATGTCAGCTCAGTATTTTTATGTGAAACCCTACAGATTCATAGTACAGATGTTTGTAAATGATTTACTGAAATCCACACAATATATGTACTTTAGGATATCTCCATCTGGGATTTGTATTTTCTGGGCAATTTGCACAGAAATTTGTTTGTTTGTCTTCCTTTGTAGTTCAGGTTGGCTATGAACTCCCTCTGTAGGCCAGGCTGGCCTCAAATTCATGGCAATGCTCCTGTGCAAAGAAATACTGACATCAAATGGTGGTGGCGCATGTCTGTAATCTCAGTACTCAGGAGGCTGAGGCGGGAGGATCACTGTGAGTTCAAGACCAGGCTGGACTACGTAGTGAGTTCCAGGTCAGTCTCAAGTATATAGTGAGACTCTGTCTCAAAAAAAAAAAAAAAAAAAAAAAAAAAAGGTGCGGGGGAGATGCATTGACATTCATTTTATTAATTTTAATTATTTTTACAGGTAGCCACTACATGATGATTTTTCACAGTATTTTAAAAATGGGCACACATATATAGAGATTCTCCCCAGTGAGACTTCTTTCATGAAATTAACAGTTTGTGTAAACTGAGACCTATCACACATTACTTATATATTCATAGTTTCTCCCCAGTGAGTTTTTCCTATATTTGACAATCTTCAGTGCTGAAATTTTTCACATAGCTTGAGTATGTATGATTAAAACCCTGTAAGAGGTCTTTCATGTTTTTCATAATCACCATGTGTGATGAAAGCTTTCCCAAACCACTTATACATGTGAGGCTTCTCCCTAGTGTGAGCTCTTTCGCATTATTGGCATATAACTGCTTCAATGGAAAGTTTCCCAACATTGCTTACATACATAACATTTCTTCCCAGTGTGAACTCTTTCATGTGTTCAGACATAACCACTAGTGCTGAAAGCCTTCCCCCATTGCATACATGTATAAGGTTTCTCCCCTCTGTGGATTCTTTGATGTCTTTGACAGTATTCAGCAGTTTGAAAGCTTTTCTGCTAATTACATATATACAGTGTGAGCTCTTTCATATGTTTGAAAAAAATCTACATTTGGTGAGAGCTTTCCAATAGGGTTTCTTCCCAGTGTGAACTACGTGTGCTAAAAGATTTCCCACATTGCTTACAACATAGACTTCCTTCCCAGTGTGAGTCCTTTCATGTCTTTACAAGCACCTCGTGTGGCAAAAATTTTCCTGCACTGCTTACATTCATAGGGTTTATCCTCAGTATGAACTTTTTCATGTGTTTGACAATAATTGCTTGCACTGAAAGCTTTCTCACATTGCTTACAAACATAGGGTTCTCCCAGTGTGAGCTCTTAAAAGTACTGTATGTGTGGAAAGCTTTTCCACATTACTTAAATACATAGGTGTTGTCCCCAGTGTGAGCTCTTTCATGTATTTGACAACATCTACATGTGGTGAAAGCTTTCCCAATTTTTTTTCATATATAGGATTTCCCTGTGCTGTGATTTCTTTCATTGATCTGACCATCACAGTGTGTGCCAGAAGCTTTCAAATTTTTCTTACATACAAAGGCCTTCTCTCTAAAATGAGGTTTCTCATGAAGATCAGACTAGGATTTCCCACACTGATAACCTTCACAGTGTTTCTCTCCAGCCTTTGTCCTTGCATAATTCTCAAAGGACTAGAAATCACTGTAGTATCTTCCATATTGATTGCCTTTATATAGATTCTCTTCAGGTCTCAATTATTTATATGGCTTCAGTGCAGTGTGAGCTATGATGGGCATATTTCGTGAGAAATGACCAATCAGAAGCTTCCTGTTAGCAAGCTGTTAAACCAGCTTGTTTCAGATCCACATTAGCAACTGAAGTCCTGAGAAATAGTTCTTCATTTTGTGACAAATCACCAGTCAGAGCCTCACTACAAGCAAGGCTTTCAGCTGGTGTTGAAGCAGCTTGTTTACTGTGCACATTGGCAATTGGAGTCCAAAGGAACGTTTCTTTCTATTGATTCTAAGCCTTATATTGGTAGTATTTCTCTACTTCTTCATTTCTGTAAAGAACAAGTCACAGTAGAGCGGGTTTCCATGTTAATGATTTACCAGAAGTTCTGTTTGATGCCTGCTAAGAAATTTACACAATGAATTAACAGGATGTCTTGAACAGAATCTTCACAACACCACTTTCCACAACAGTAGTATGTATGTACTAATTTTTAGCTTCATATATTTCCAAACACAGAAAGTTTAGGGCTGGGGTTTAATCTTAGTGGCACCATGCCTGCCTCAGAAGCACAAGGTCCTGAGTTCAATACCCCCCTCAAAATGAAGTTTATCTTCATTTTGGGCAACTTGCGCATAGCTGTTTCATGTACTGATCATTTCAATACCCTTTTCCCCATCACTGTACCCCTTCTGTTTATGCTGGTTTTTTTTCCCATCTCCAACATACCAGCATTTCCTTTTTCTATCATCTCTCCTTTATTTTACTAATTTATAATTTTGGTTTTTCATAGAATGGAAACCATGTGACATTTTACATTTTTTTGCCTGGATTATTTCAGTTAACATGATGTGATGAGTACCGACCTATTTCTCTTGGCAAATGACATGATACTATTCACCTTTTTGGCTTATTATACAGCACATTTTCTTCTCTTTTCAGTGTTAGGAATTAAAGAGAACTTAGTAAAAAAGCTCCACCTTTTTGATTTCTTATTTTGTGAGATATTCATTGATGCTTAACTGGTTCAGGCTGAACTTCAACTTGCCAGCCTACAGAATCTGCTTCCCAGAATTCAGGGCTGACAAGAATGTAGCATCACACTGAGCATATCAACAATTTCTTCATGCATGCATCCACCCAGGGATGGACATCAAACTGATTCTAGGGCTTAGATGTTACAAATTGGACTGCTTTGAATATCAGTATGCGTGCATCAGTATAATATGGTGATTTTAACTCTTTTCACAATATACTCAGGACAGATATGCTTGGATAAAAGAGAAGTTCTATTTTTACCTCGTGAGATATAGGTATTCTGATTGTAATAATGATTGTCCTTACCATTCCACTACCCACTTTGCAGGGTGCCTTCTCAGAATTTTAAATTGGAATGGATGGGGCCTGGGGTTGAGCTCGGTGGCTCCACCACCTGCTTTGCAAGTGCAAGGACCTGCGTTCAACCTCTGGTACCAGAAATAAAGAAGGAAGGAAGGAAGGAAGGAAGGAAGGAAGGAAGGAAGGAAGGAAAAAAGAAAGAAAGAAAGAAAGAAAGAAAGCTTTTAAATCTCTGTCAAATGGCACAAAACACATAATGCAACACTAGCATTCCTTGGTATGTTGGATAGTGCTTCAAAGTTGACAATTTTTATTTAGATACTGAATGTCTTAAATTCATGTGTATATATGAATAGATATGTCAAAGATGTTAAAATTCAAAGTTTATTCTTCATATGTATAGCTAGCTATAGTACCTAATTGCAATTTCATACATTTTTATGGTTAAATTGTCAGATTATAATACTGAAGTTGTGTATACCTTTGGAGAATATCTGTGACCTTAAATTGAACTTGGCCTCATTTCCTTGATAGTCATGTTTCTGCTCACAGAGTATTGAGGAACATTGTCTCTCCTTGTGAATGGAAATTACCTTATATTTCTCCAGTAATTTCTGTATCCTTCTTCATTCTTCTAATTATCTCATAATCTTCCCGCGGTGTAGAAAAAGAAATGGAAAGACTCATTATATTAGTACATAAACATTAAGATTCCACTTAGATTCATGATATAATGTAACTAGACCTAAGATATTCTTCAAAATATTTTCTCTTTCTGTCTAATGAGAAAGCACTGGTGAACAACAAACAATATTCTCTGATTGTAGAGATAAGAAACAAATGTCATCCTTACCTATGGCAACCATGTTCTTAAAGGTTTTCCCCCATGGCATCTCTATAGAGCTTCTTTTAGAATGGATTCAGCAAAGCCCACTCCTCCATGGGGAAGTTCACAGCCACATCTTCAAAGGTCACTGCTTCCTAAACATCATATGCATATTTCTAAAAGGAAGGTTGAGACTCACAGC